GTGAATTATTCCCTTTCAGTCCATTGTCGGGGAACTGCCACACAATCACATCCAGTCTTACTGCAGACAAATTCCTATTGATCCAGTATTTGACACAAATCAGTTGTTTTATCTGAAGCACTTGTGCCATGACATCGTGTTGAAATTTAGCACCAGCTTGTCTTTGAGATGTAATGGCAAACCAACATAGAGGATGGATTGTACATAAACTTATTTGATCCGTTTCAAAATCCTGTTTGGCATTAGCAGAATCGATAATCTACAAAACTAAGAAAATTGCTATCTTGCCCAATTAAGCCTAATATCAATTGCTCCCTACCTACATTTTGTAATCTATTTTAAGCTCTGTTAAAATTATCAAGTTGTGTCTAATTTGGCATTTGACAGCTAAAACCCAGCATAATTATGTTTTATGTAATTGTAAAAAAAAATTCTAGTAAATCCCAGCAGAGCTGTGCTGTCAGATTGGACAACAAAAACAATCTAAAGCAAACTGTCCAAAAAAAGAACTGTTCAGTAAAGAATCACATCCTAAATTAGTGAAATGTTAATTGGTCCATGTCAGAACTGTGCAAAACGTCACAGTTCAGACATCTTACAGAACCAAAGCGTTGCTGTTTACAAAAGTGGGTCAAAGTTCCTTCGGTGACACGATACAGGCCGATAAAGTCTACACACAGAAGATGATTACTTCAAGATACTGCTAAATGTGGAGCTTCCTTCCTCTGCTTCAGCATTTTAGCTTTGGTTTGGTACATAACATTTAAAATATCAAATGTTACAGACAGTGCATGAGGTGACTGTATCCTACATGATGGAAAAGATAACGCATGGCATGTTTTTGTTTTCCCTGAGGCTGTTTATCTACCAACAATTCACAAAAACTGCTGATGCTGGCCCATCATTCAGATTGTAAGGGTGTATTTAGACAGAAAAGTTTTTTTTTAAAGAAATCAGTTACCATCTGGTTAAACTTTAATGTTTTCTCTGAAGCGGTGTGTGAGCGCCTTCCCTACCTCAGGTCTTTGGGAGTTGGCGCTCTAATCCTGCAGGGTGTGTTTGATAAAAAGGCAACTCCAGCTTACCTCAGTGAGGCCCTGGAGACAAAGGCTCAGATCCAACATCTGCTTGCAGAGAGCAACAAAGCAGGTAAGCAAAATGACTTTAGGTTCAATTTTTATTGGAGTTTTCCTGCATAAACATCACGTTTGGGAATTTTGGTCTTTCAGATCTAAGGGTGGTGTTGAACATATGTGACGTGAATCTGCTGGGACAGGAGGAGATGCCCGGAAACAAACCGTCGAACCGTTCAGATACTGTACGAGTGAAAACGACCCAGTAGCTTGTCGCACCAACGTGCTCATTAGCAGGCATTTCATTTTCCCCAGGATGCATTAAGGTTCTGGTTGGAGCAAGGTGTGGCCGGATTTGTCATCTGTGACTCTGATCCAGCATATTCGGTGGAGGTAAATGCGTTACTGATGTCTTTAATCTTGGTAAAAGCGCTGTTCTCATGAGTTCATATTTTTTGTGTTAAACATATCAGACTCTGCAGGAGTGGAGGAGAGTTGTTGAGGAATTTAACACTCATCAGGAGGAAAGGTGCAACTTACTGTCCAAGTTTTCTTCCTTTTTTTCTTTTTGCATTGTAAGATGCGCAAATAAATATGCAAGTCCATGTTTTACTGCAGGATTTTGTTGGTAGAACAGACCTCAGATGTTCTGCGCCCGCTGAATGCCTCGTCTCAGAACCTCACGTTGGTAAATGTGGTCATAAGGTCCATCTTACCAAAGTCGGAGCAGCCTCTCTCTGCTGAGGAAGTAGCTGGAGCTGTAGAGACGTGGCTGCAAACACGACAGGAAGACGTGTGGACCAGCTGGACAGTAAGATTATTTTTATGCAAGCTTATTTAATCTAACTTGGTTTGTCTAGGTCAGTGGTTCCCAACTCCAGGTTTGGAAAGCTGCTGTCCAAAAAGGCAGATTGGATTAGATTATTCCCCTCCACATTACCTGGATGAAATGAATATCTTCCTACTGGGACTCTGGAGAATTACAGAGTCAAATAGTTGCTGAACAACGTCTTTCAAGGTCTAGGGTTAACTCTTGCTTTAGGAACGTGTGTGTGTGTGTGTTTTTAAAAATCTCAAGTGTACAGTAGGGATTTTATAAAACTTTTAAAATGTACTTGGATGTGTGATTTTTTTATTTTTTTTTGCATGTTCAGGCTACTGGAAACCAGTGAAAAGACTTTAGAAATGGGTGACAGGCACTGATTTGTTCTTAAATAGCTTTGTGTTGGTCTGATGACATTGTAACATAGAGCTGTGCATCATCTGCATATGGTAACTAATCTTATGTGTTTATAGTCTTATTATGTAAATATTAAATAGGAGGAGCCCCTGGATGGCACTTGGCCTCTTTTTAAGGCAAGAGCTGAAATGTATCTTATTCACTGAAGGGCAAATTGTTTAATATGGAAAGATAAAATTGCCGTATTTAAGGATGCTGGAAGATTTGAGTTATTTACTTGCAACTTTGGTATTTCCTTTCCTTTCAAGCCTGAATGCTTGAAATGAAATGTTATCACAACTTTATATTGGGTCCTGCAAAAATGCAAAATGTTTTTTTCTCTCCCCTTTAAAACTGTAAATTTATTTGCACTCACACAAGACTTTAAAACTGAAATCTGGAAAGAAATTTAGTTGCCATGTTTATTTTATTTATTTTTTACATTTCCACAACAGACTGATTCTAAAAGTACAAGTATTATTTTATATATATTTTTCTTATTAGGTTAGAAATGCATTTTGTTTTATTTTTTTTAAAGAATCAGAATTCAGTGGTAATAAATGCATTCGTCCTCGGCAAAAGTTTTTCTTCTTTTTAAAACCTGAAAACAGAAATAAAATTGTGGGTCTTTGAAAATAAAATTTCTTATAGTAGATTATTATTATTATTATAATTATTATTAATCTTTTTATTTTTTTTAGAAGGGGATTTAACATATTCATCTTTAAATAAGGTTTCTTTAGCTGGAGTGATGGAAAAATTGACTCTTGGACTTGTAAAGATTGCAGACAATCTTTACATGTGAGATGATCAAAAATTCAACCCCTTAAATCTGGTTGTAAGTTACGTTTGGAGAACTTGGATTCCTCCTAACTCATTGTTTGTATTCCAGTAATATTTTGTAACATCTGCAGGTTGGAGGTGAAGTGCCTGTAGAGCTGAAGAGGTTATTCCTGGTGCTGCTGATGACTCTGCCAGGATCACCTGCTTTCAGATACGGGGAAGAGATCGACCACACCTGGGTAAAATCTTATCAGATTTAAAGAAATGAGCCCACAGAGTAATGAGATAAATGTGTGACCAGATTTCTTAAGGATTATTCTCACTATTTGCCGTCTCCTGTTTTTTTTAATTTTTTTTTTATTTTATTTTTTTTTATGCATTTTATTTCTGCTCCCTGCACCTTTTAGGACAAAGAGTCAAAGCACTCGGATGTTGCTCTCTTCTCCACTCTCAGCCACACCAAGTCCAGTGAAGAAGCTCTCCTCTACGGCAGCTTGACGCTCCTCCCCTTCAACGCCACCTCCAACTTTTCCTCGAGTTCGCTTTCCAACTCCTCCGTTTCTCCTCGTCCCGTCCTGGCCTTCCTGCGCTCCTGGGGTTGCGTGCGGTTCCTCATTCTGCTCAACGTGTGGGCCGAGCCGCTCTCCCTGGATCCGGCCCGGGCTCCCGGCCTGCCTAAGAAGGGCGTGTTTGTGGCCAGCACAGGAATGAACCACATGGGCTCGACGTATCTGTGCTCTCTTAAACTGCAGCCTTACGAAGCCGTCGTCATCAAGCTGTTTAACCCAGGAGGATACTCGTAGAGATTCAGCTGTGTTGATTTAATTATCAGGATATGTTGTCATGGTAGCAGGGTTTTAAACGTCTGGCACATGTGCTGCATTTGAGCGTCAAGTTTTCTGTGCTGCTCCAAGTTTAATCTGTCGGATGATGATTTAGTCATAGAAAATGGTCTGCATTTTCTTGGTCATTTCACTCGGCTAGTTTAAACTCAAATCAGGAGCCACATCCTCCTCCTCATGTAGCTGAAGTATTTCTGCTTCAAGCCCTTGATGTGATGTTTGTTTGCCAAATAAATTTGTGGAAATTTGCCAACTTTTTAATTTTTGTATTTTACCAGCTTTGTCTCTAGAAAGCAACACACCGTACCTTGCACAAATATTCATACCCCTTCAATTCAATTTGAAATTCAACCATAAACTTGGTTGAACTTTGTGAAGTGAAAGAAAAAAAATCTGAACTTTATTTTTTACTTTACAAAAATCTGAAAATTGTTGTACTGTTTCAGCATCCTGACCCTGCTGAAAAATGAAAGGTGATGCCATCACCATGTCATGAAATACCTGGGAATATGTTCTCGGGTATTTCAAAACGCAGGGGTGGATTTTGAAATATTGTACAGGTTTTTTTGCAGCTATTTTTTTGTGGTTATGATGTAGAAAGTACATAAGTATGAACGCATTGTGCAGAGGACAGTGTTATGAATGAGAGACCCAATCACTATCTTCAGTTTTAGCTTTGGATTACCACTAGGTGGTGCTACAGCCTTACTCACAGCTTCATTATAACTCAATGCATTTAAAGGAGATGCTGTCAACATTTTTATTCTTTTGGCTCCGTGGAGTTTTGGGAAAGTTGGCTGATGCCAACATATGAGGCGTTTGCTGTTTTCTAAGAATCCCTGAGACATCGCTGCTCTTGTCAAATAAGCGTAAAGTTGTTGTACTTGGACTGAAATGGTATATTGCTTTACAGCCCTTGTTAATCTGTAAACATAAAAGTGCTTCTGGCAACACCGCGACATTCCCAGTAGACAAACTCAGCATCGCGTTCTGAACGTAAATGATTTCCGCTGAAAATGCCACCGACTCTTAATTTGTATGCTTTAATACCTCTTGCTGAAGAAGACCTCACATTTTTATTCATGGTGGAAATATTTTATTGCATTACTCTATTTTTACAGCTCAAATAACTACTTACACTTCACAGAGAAAAATGTGCAGGAGGAAACGTGTACAAATTGCACTGGTTATGCATATAAGCCAAAGGTGACTGTATACAGCAAAATGTAAAAAAAAATATATATGTATATATATATATATGAAACCACTTCACCATGCCTGTTGCATTCCATAAAAAATAGATCTTATAACAAGAGCACAGTGACTGACCTTAAATAAAAACTAGTCATCATAAATCTAACAGTTTACTCTCACAGTGCACGTTGAAGCAGCAGACGTCTCCAAAAGCGGAAAGCTTTCGACACAAATCACTCCTGGTAGCTTTGAAATCAGCAACAGAGAGAAGGAAAAGTGAAATCATGTGCATTTAATACAATGACTACACGGGTTATACTACACTGACAAAATGTCATCTTGGGGCATCTTTCTACTCCACTGTGGGTCTAAAAAAAACAAAAACTTGAATGTTGTTAAAGGACTGTAGATGACATTAAAGGAACATTACGATGTTTGTTTGGTTTGGTTTGAATCTTACATTTAGTAAAACTAGAAAATCAAACGCACAAGCATAATTTATTTAATATCCCTGCTCAAGAGGCTCGAGGCACAACTGTGGATCTATGCAAGCACACACTTACACCCAAGGAAAACTTAGTACAGTTAGCTTAAGGTCCGGCCAAGCCATCAAGTGAACACCCATAGTTTAAACCCAGGACCAAACATAATACATCAGATTTTCTTTAAATTTTCTTACTACATTCATTTCCTGCAGGTGGATCAGTGTTTACTAAAAAATATCAACAATTTTTCCCTTTTTTTTTTCTTCAGAGAATTAACCAATACTTGAAGTAAACTTGTCAGTTTGGGATTCAGGACTTTGTTGCTCCATCAGTCAAAATCTAGTCTAAAATTAGACATAAGGCTTTAAAATCTCCTAACATTCACAAGAGAAGTTCTACAAGCTCGCAGACTTGTCTTTAAGAGGACGTTTGACTAATTTAGCCTGAGAGGTTTTGTTGCTGTACTGTAGAAACTCTGTAAAATCAAAAGGACCAGACAAAGTGAGGCAAACATGTACTGATCTCCGAATGTCAGGAAATGCCTACCAGGCGTCGACTCGTCTTCCACACCTGCTGATGCAAATAGTTAAAACAGGAAGTCAAAATACTAACGTGACTAAAACCAGGATGGGATCGGCTGGGGGCCGGCGTCTACCTCAGGTACATGAGGAGTGTACTGTGTTCCCTGAGGTGGACGATGTTTTAGTAGGAGTCAGAGCAAGATTTACTGACATTGTTTGATAATTGTTTGCTTAGCATGTTATTGGACTTGAACATGATCATATTTGATTAACTTATATTGCCGTGAATATGGCTTTGCATAACTGGACCAGCTTGATTTCCTGAAGATTTAGTTGGAAGAGCATCTTCCGATGTCACCCAGGTCATATATCCATGAAAATGACACAAAGTTGAATCACTCACAGAAATTCTAATGGAAAAATAAAAATAAAAAATTACATTAAATAACTATTTTAGTCATTGTTAGTCATTTAAAAACAACTGAAGTTCTGAAACGGTAGAGATTTCTTTCACAACCTTCTGAGATGAACACAGCCATGATTACACAAAATTTATAGAGCTTTTAAGATGCATTACATGGACCACAGACATTCAACAAACATTTAGATCAGCAACAGCCCATGATCAAAACTTGGAAGAAGTAGGTCTACTGATTGCATGTCTGTAAACGGCACAAGTCCCACCTGAACCTGTAGAAATATAAGATTAACACTCGACTCCACAAGCCTATGCTGATAACAACACTGAACAAGAAGCACACATGAATTAAAGTGGTTTTGCTCTAAACTACTTGTTGTGATTCCTTTAAACAGAAAATCTTTAACAAACTGAATGTGGCTGCTCTCCAGCCTAACTAGGGTGATACTACTAGTACGTGTAATTTGAAGCTACCTAAATGGCTGGATTCATTTAATCGTGTATTTTTGGATAGGAGTTGATGTGTAGTGAGACGGCGCATCGAAAACAAACCGAACTGAGCAGAATTTGATATGAAAGCAACTTCAGGCTGCGGTTTTTGTATTATGACTCGAGTTTGTTGCACACATTCTGATTCGTTCTGTGTTAAGTCCCCACCAGTTTCTACATACAACTCATTTTAATTAGACGTGCTGATCTGAAGTCACCCATCCCTGACCATGGCTACAGTATGAGGTCAAACGCTTCAAGTGAACAGTAGAGAGCAACAGTTTCACTGTGTGTGTGTGTGTGTGTGTGTGTGTGTGTTCAGAAAATAGTTGTAGGAAAGTGGTAGCATACAGTAATGCATGTTAAATATCCACAACAGTTTATCAGATCGCTCTGATCGAAGCAGCTGAGCTTCGGTTTTTGGCACGACTCCTTTTGCGGCGTTGAGGTGGAACGACGGCGACACACGCGTTCAGAGAATCATCTGTCTTTGAATACAAGCTGTACATTCAAGATCCCTCTCACTCCAGAGGTTTGTTAAATCGTCTTTTCAGACCAGACAGTCTCTCTCTCTCTCTCTCTGCCTGGACTGCTTCGTCCTTCCCTGCTCACGAGTCTGCTCTGGGTTGTGGCAGAGAGTCAGTTTTGTCAGTAAGTGCCGCTCCTGTGTTCACGGGTTGCGGGGTATGGAGTGGTCGAGTGGGAAAGACAAGGCGCAGTGATCCGTCGACTTCATGGCTCCTTTGCCGAACCGGCAGGACAGCAGCGAGTAGAGGTGACGAAACACCGACTTGCGGAAAATGATGAAGACCCAAGGATCCATGATGGGGTTTAAAGAGTAAAAGCGGAACGCTCTGAAGTTTTCTTCGTCTCCGGAGAACGGCTTAACGGCATTCATAAAGCCGGCAATCTGAGGAGGAGAGAAGGTTGCGATTAGACACAGAATTTACTTTTCATGGGTCAAAATAAAAAAATAAAAAATAAATATAAAACATCTATCTTCTTCTTCTATTTTTGATGACCTGCTGCTTTGGCCTCTTCTGGAAATCAAGCTGGAAAACTATCAGAAATACGCAAACGTCTAAGAATCAAGATGATTCGTGCAAAAGACGTAACGACTCCTTACAGGTTTTTCCATCAGTAATGGATGAAGCAGAAGATCCTGCAAACAACTCTTGTTTAAAACCAGCTAATGCACAGATCTGTTTCCTCGTGTTGCTTTTTTCTCCCCACTGTGTTGTTGATTTTTAAAGAGCGTTTCCATCAGTGGGAGGACAACTGAAACTGACAGTCGTGTTTTTCTCCAACGTCCAAAAGGGCAAGTTGAGGAAATGGCTTCTGATAAACAAACTTCTTTACTGAAAACTCTCCTTGAACGTCTGCCTCACAGTGAAGACTACCGCCGGCTTCTCAGACTATTTAGCTACAACAAAGGTTGTCGCATTTCCACACACTGCAGCCACTGCAGTACCAGGCCTGGGGATGTGATGAAGCATCCACAGACTGGTTTGTTTTACCACAACTGTGTTAGTTGTTTCCTGACAGACAAAACATTTTGTCTGTTTGTATGGTGTTTCGCAGAAGATGGTGACACCTTTCTATTTCTGTAAATATTGATCCAGAGACCAATCTAGATCGACAAGTAATGTAGATAAATGATGTAATTAGTAAAGGCTTTATGTATGTAATGTAGTTGAAGTAAAAACAGCTGTTCTGTGAACAAAGAGCATCGTAGAGAACCAAGTAGAAGCACAGCAGACGGGTCAGAGAGAAAGCTTTGGTGAAGTTTTTTTGTTTTTGCTTTTTAATAACTTTTTTTGGCTTTAATGGCCTTTACTTGACAGTAAAGGAAAAAGAGTTGTGAGAGAGGGGGAAGACATGCGACCAAAAGGTCAACGGGACGTGACTCAAACTCGTGTCGAGCGTGGAAACTCTTGCGATGCATCTAGGGGCTGTTGACTGTTTTGCAGTTTCCTCGACATTTCAATTTAAACAAATGCAACAATACTGTTTGCAGAAGCCGATGCGTCTGTAACAAATACAGTGCAGCATTTCCTGCACTGTAGCAAGATACAGCGCCGGCTTCACGCTGTGGTTTCTCTAACTCGGATGCCACAAAGCGCCATCAAATATCACCAGGCGGCTCTCTAATAAACATTGTGAGAATTCTGTTTCGCAAAAACAAAGTGGCCCGAATGTGAACAACCATGAGCGCGCAAGGCTTAACTACGAGGTTTTCTTTTGTGCCCCGACATTTGAAGTTTGACAGACTGTAAGCAGGCGGCCCAGACAGAAGAGGCAGCAGCTGGCTGCTGAATCACCGTGGGGAGAGAGAGAGACAAAGAGAGAGAGAGAGACGCAGCAGCTGGCCCAGGAAGCTCACCACCTTGCTTCTCTCCTCTATCAACAATTTCCCATTTTCTTCATGAAATATCCAACAAACAGTAGCCTAATTAATGACCTGTGCTGATTGAGAGGCCCCTGCGCCTTGGCGTAAATGTTTTGTTTGTTGCTAGGGCCTGGACTGAAATCTAATAAGCTCAGCACAATGCGCGAGGGGCCAAAGTGAGCGAGACCAGACGGAGGACAAATGAACCTACCGGAGGGACGAGACGCAGACCTGACTGCGTTCGCCGCCCAGCGCACCAGTTTCACACAGAGGGGATGGTTTGCATTGACCCGTGGAGACACCTGCAGGAGATCAGGCCGGATTTCAGCTGTGTGGGTAGAAATGCAGGAGGAATGGAGCCCGAAGCCTTTTTAGTGCGCGGGTTTGCTCACGCAGTATTTTTAAAACCTCAAAAATGACTTTAGAACAAGCAGAACTTGGTTCAGTTCAGACGTAATTTCTTTTGTATTAATCTAAAACTCCATCTGGAATCAAAGCTTTGGTTAATTTAGTCTTCTTGGCCGCAACCTCAGATTAAAAGCAACAGCGTTCGCTATACAGGGTGGAACAAACCAAATGTCCAGATGTTGTTGATTTGCTTTTAGTACATATCACTCTGGAACTTTTTGTAGTTGCAAAACCAATATTGCATCAGAGCTATTACCTAACACCCTTGAGAGATGAAGTATGGGTGTCGAGTTGTGCACCACACAACAAGAATCCATTTTAAATTAAGTGCCAGGAAAACCACGATAAACTGAGCCAAGTTAGCGTCTCCCAGTTTTACCTGAAGCCTCTTGCGTTCGCCACTATGAATTTTATGAGCTTTAGCCGTCCAGGAAGTTACATCGTAATCAAATCAGCTCTTTGCGAATGCTTTTGCGCGCTCTTCCATTTGCAAGTTTCAGATTCATAAAAGTTCTGTCAAACTGGGCCGCATGTTATCGATAAAGGTGCATGTGCATTAAAGTAGCTGCTGCAGCTTCAAGAACATTTATGCAGCAAATTAAAAGTGTGAGATAAAAGACTGAACGCAAGAAAGCATAAGTCCAGCATGTTTAAATTGAGACATTCAACAAAGTAGTTTGTTTTTTTCAGTGCTTAATATCATTTATCCTGAGGGCCAAAGTCAATTCTGATAAAGAACTCAACAAAGAAACAATTTAGCTTTTCCGTTATTTTGATGTACAATTACAAACTGAGTGGTGTGTATTTTTTAAATTGGAAAGCAGAAGGTACATGAGTGCCTTCACAATCAGCCTCCTGGAACGTACCAGACGGGCAAAGTGATATCCCCTTTAGATGCTTCAAACAGGTAGAAATACAAACTAAAAGCTGTAAAAAGAAAAAAAAAAAGTGCATCATCCCCCCTCCCCCCACCCACTCCGTTGCCCACCTTTGTTTTGTTCTTTAACATAAAACGTAGTTTGGTTTGTGGTTGCAGAGAAGTTGCAACAATTGGTTTTGCACACCGTTGCTCACCACATTCATCACACATTTGTCTGTAGTTGTGAGACGGTTTAAATCCCACTTCCTCATTGCTATTGGCTCCAAAAGTTCACTTTAATTCATGAGTCATTGGAGGGAACCGAGAAGTGGAAGTAGATGTTTTACTTATGGCACTTTGTTTTTCAAAGAAACGATTGAAATTTAAATAACCGGTTCCTTTAAAAGATAATCAATGCACCAGTAGGCAAGAGGCGTTTCATTCCTCAGAAATAAAATTATTCTGCAAATCACCTTCTAGACAGAAAACAGGTAAGGAAAAAAATAAAACATTAAATAAAGTTATCACAGCAATAAAGTCGTTGATTTAACCAATCAGCTAGTTATTATGTCACTCTGTGGTTTGTCACATTAATAATCCAAGGAGATTAAAAATCATTGCTCATTGTGACAGTGTGTCTGAATAACTGATCTGCCACCTAAAGGTGGGTAAATTACGTAAAAGTCAAATTTTCAGAGAACTAGTCTGTACCAGATTTACAGACTCTCCCTTCAAGGGTGACTGAGAGATATTTGTCTGTGTACAACTATTTCCAAAATAAAACCCCTGCTTTGAGGAACAACACTGCAAAAACACAAAATCTCACAAAATATCTTTTGTCTAGTCTCTAGCATCAAACGTCTTGAATATACTTGAAATGAGACAGAACTAACTTTTTGAGATTAAGTCAATAATTCCTTAATATTGCCAAAAACTGATAAGAGAAAAAAATGTATTGTTATAAATGAGATAATCTGCCAGTGGAACTAGACCTTTTTATAAAACAAGCTCCTACATCTTGCTGGAAGGTAAATTAGTTTTGTCTTATTTTAGGTGCACTAAAAACCAGAAGCCAGACCAAAAGTACCAGGTAAGATTTTGTGGGGTTTTTTTGCAGTGAAGAGGAAGTGATGAGATACTTCTACAGCAGCAGAGTAAAAAGGTTCAAAAGACATGTTTTATACAAATCCTTTACTGACGAAGGCATGACGCAAAACTCCTCTGATAACATCAGAGAAATGAAATATCTTAGACGTCTTAGGGAACAATAGCGAGCAATCCCTTTACAGCCTTGGCTTCTGATCAAGAAGCTGCTCTGGTTCAGCGATTTGTTATTTCCACACAAAGTTATCATCCCACCTAATTCATCACGCAGCCTTGCCAAAAACATTTCAAACACACACGCGCCTCGTCTCGGCGGTGAGCGTCTCGCTCTGCGTTTACCACCCTGGCTCTGGCTCCTGCGTGCCACCCTGCCTCTTATGGTGCTCTCGGCGGACTCTGAGCCGCCAAGGAGAGGGGGAACAAATCACGAGCCGCTCTCCTTTTTCCAGGCACCGCGGGCTGTGGGGCAGAGACTGATGACATGTCAGGATCTCCTTAAACAGGAGCATAATAATGCATCACTGGGCGCTTAGAGAGCAGAAGCAGAAAAGAAACGGGGGACCATGCAGGTGCACTTTAAATGTTCCTGTTATGCTTAAGGATGTATTAGGCCTGCAAAAGCAAATGTGCTCATACTGTGTAAACAGTTCATAGTTGCAAACCTTCTGCAAGCTTTTTTCTGAGTTAAAGGAAGATGATAGAGTTACAGTACGATGCAAAAGTATTCATTTTTCTCCCAACATTGTCTCACATTTAGCTCTGGAAAAAATGAAGAAACCAGTGCCTATTTTCATTTTTTTTATTTCCGCATCAGATTTCTCACAAAATTACCATTTAATTTTCATATTATTATGACTTTATTCGCGTATTATTTTGAGTTCATTGAAAACCTCTATAAACTTGTTTTCTTTGCATTATTTGAGGTCTGAAAGCGCTGCATCGCTTTTATTATTTTGACCATTTCTCATTTTCTGCAAGTAAATATTAAACTTTTGCTTAGAATTTCAGAGACATGATGTCAGTAGTTTGTAGAATAAAAGAACAATGTTAATTTTACTCAAACATTTACCTATAAATGGTAAAATCAGAGAAACTGATCATTTTCAGTGATCTCAAACAAATCGCTGAGCCCTCACTTTGTCTATATACT